ATGGTAAACAACACACGCATCTGAATCATCTAGGTATTCCAGTTCCTGCCATCAAACAGTAGAAGTTTGGTGCCCAAACTATTGTTTACGTTCATCTTCAATCTTGTGCAAGTCACTCAGATCTCACTGAACACGATGTTTCCCAATCTCACCGAATCATCAAACGTGATTTTGTTACGATTTTGTTCAAGATTCAATATGAATTCAAGAAACGAAATCAATCACGCAATGCCTCACTGCTTTACTCGTGTTCCCATGTTTTCATGTGGATTTAAACCGAAGCTCTAGATACCCATTATTAATGCACAAAATAATGACGACTACAAAAGCTATATGAAAGATTATATAAATGACAGTTACTACTAATCTATTTATCCACACATATTGATCACCTAGACAACATACTAAAATACTAAATTATCCTTCAATAAAACTTTTGTGATTCTTCATCCCGTCTTCTTTATATATAATATTATTTGCTATTTAAAAAATAAATAAATAAATTACTCTAGTCATTATAATAAGAACAAAATTATATTTTAAATGTATTAAATAATTATTATATCTAGGATAGATCATGGAACTGCTGGACCTACGTGTATGGTGAGGCAGAAGATAATATATGGGTTGGTCAAACTACTTCTATAACTTATCAAAAGCTTTCACAGCAAACACATGCACTGCATTTATGGAGTAATTGTGTGGTAGGGTCTTTTGCATTTCATAGAGTTACTACCATTTACCAATATGGACGAAATATCTTTTGCTTCGTTTTACGTCTAAAGATCTACAACATGGTGAAAGCTGCATTAATTTGTGGAGTAATTTCTTTCGTTCTGGTAACAATCAATTTAATTTTGGGTTTAATTAACCACAGAGGAAACTCTAATGTATAATACCAGCTCCAAGTTATTTATATAGCTTCTTAACTTGTAACCATATTTATCTTATTTATACAGCACCTACTAAATGTGAATTCAACTAAAGGTTCCTTCTCTATTAAACCGGCCTATCAAACTATCATTGTTGAATCTTTGTTGGTTCAAAAATATGCTTTTGATCACATTTTTGACATTCATTCATCTTTGTTCTTTAATTCCAGGTGCATGGTTATAAAAGGTGCAATCACTTTGTATGATATGATGATGAAATGTCTACAAGAACCAAGGAAATTATCACTTCACAACATAAAAATTTGGATCAAGAATGGACAAAAGTGGATGAAGTCAGTATAAAAGTTGTAGAAATGAAGATGAAGTTGAATTCAGTAAACTTAATGATGAAATTCTTTATATCAATAACATTTATTCTGGCATTAGGATTAGTGTTGTCAACTGTAACAAAGTAGTTTTTTGGTTAAATTGGTGTAGACATGAGGATTAATGTTATCAATTGTTGTAACTTTGTAAGTTGGTTTTGACATTAGGATTAATGTTGTCACTTGATGAAAACTTGTAATGAAATGAATGTAGTTTTTGGTTTGAATTGAAATGAAGATGTTGTTTTTGTTTGAATTGTATTGGCTTGAATTGAAATGAAGATGTTGTTAAATTCTATTCAAAACTAGTGAGATATTCATGCGTTCGCACAAGTACTACTGTGGTACGTACGTTTTTGTTTTCAAAATATAATAAAATAATAAGAAAAATAAAATGGGAACAAGACAAAATTGTCAGACAAAAATAGTTTATTATTTTTAAAAGAGATAATAAATTGCTTTCAATATTTTCTTCCGTATATAGGGAATGGATTACCGGTGATGGAATTTCAATGGGTAGAATGTCTAAATTTACCGTGGCGTCTTTAATTACCGGTAATTCAAATTTCCATATCAAATTAGTTCTTCTATTTCTATAAGAAGTTGGACAGACCGAAATTGTAAAAGTCTTTTCGCGGTCGCCACAACCAATATTTAAAACCATGGTCATGAACCTGGGTGGATTTCCCAACACTCAAAGGCGTGGCTTCAGCATGGATAAAGTCACCAATCATAGTTGAATTCAAATGATTGATGCTAAATCGAATTCCTACAACCTTTTTATAACCACAAGCAATATGTGCTCCAACAATGGCTAGTGTTTCTGCTATCAATGCTGATACACCATGAAGCATGTTATATGGCTGCAACCATATCCAAACTCAAATGAGAAAAATATCAAATTTCATTATAGAACATTTAGAATCCATAGATAATAACGTTGTTGACACCTTCTAAAACAACAGCAAAACGATATCAAGAGGTGTCAATATAGTTTTTATAAAGGAAAAAAAGAAAGATAAAAAATATGATGTCTAAACCTGAAGAACTTTCAAAATCTTTCTCGTCATCCGATTACTGAGCTTTGCCTTCTCAATCTCTTGTTTAAAGTAAATGCAAAGCATTTTGAAGTAGCTAAAAAGTAAAGTCTACCATAGATAAAACAGTACCTGCTGCAAAACCTATAGTCTCGCTGATGCATACCTAAAGTTGTTGCTTCCAGTGTGCGAATATGAACAATGCATAAAATGCAACAACAAATTATAATAGATTTAATTTGGAACGGAGCGAGTACCTCAGCAATTCGTCTCTGAACAACAGCCTCCAAGCAGTGAATCACTCTTTGCGGCTCTGCTTCATAGCTCATAGGATATCCATCGACATGCCTTATGTAGTAATCCTGCAAAAACATGTTGGGTCAAGCGGAACCGTATCAAGTATAATACATATGACAGTAGTTCTTAAACAATATTCAGAAGATTTGATATTAAATTTGAGCATAAGTTCACGACACATAAAAAGTAAAACAAGAATCATATATGTGAAACAATACCATAACATTATGCCCAGAACATCTCCTTCATAATACCCAAGAAATCATATATCATCACTCCAAATCATCAAATCAACCACAAAAACCCTAACCACAAAATCAAAACTCTAAGTTTCTAAGAAAACTAAACAAAAACAAAATAGAGGTGATAAAGCAAGAAGGAGTGTCTTATTAAATGGAATATATTGAAAGCATTTAAATCGATTCACACAATTTAAAACCCTAAAAGAGATACCAAAATCGGTTCACTCAATCTAATTGATGCACCATCGTAAACCGATCCATACGCCATTTTTCTTTCTATATGATACCAAAATAATAAAAGAGATAGAGAAAGAGAAAGAGAAGGAAGAAAGAGAGCAAAAAGAAAGGGTCACGGAAAGAGTATTGTTGTTATTTGGTAGTGTATGCATGATTAAATAAAAAATTATATTGTCATCTATATGTATATGTATGACTCAATAAAATATGTAAAAAAATGAACCAACTGAACTGAACCAAACCGCATTGATTTGGTTAGGTTTGGTTCTGTTTTTTTTCTAAAAGCCAACTGAATCAAACCAAACTACACGTCTTTTTCTCTTGCGGTTCGGATGATTTTTAGCGTCAAAATCGTCCAAACCGCACCGTAAACACTCTTGGTAGATACTTCCTCCGTTTCAAAATGACTGTCGCTTTAGCAAATATATTTTGTTTCAAAGTAAATGTCATTTTCACTTTTCAATATAGTAATGATTACTATTTTATCAATTGTGTCATTTACTTTTTATTTTCTACACTACTTTCAATATATTAATAGAGTCAATTTTGTAAAAGTGTAATGTGTTAAGACAACACCAATACATTCGTTAATTTATGTGCAAAAACCTTAAGGATCTGTTTGGTGCGCTGGATAAATGATAAAATTATCCAATCCTACTCTAATTTGTTGTTTGATGCACCAATAGGAAAGGATAATTTAAACTTAATACTAATCATATCATATTACTCCTTTGTTATTCTAATCCATATTTTAAGTTGGGTTAGCAACATAATAGGATAACTAACACAAAAACACACGCTCTCTTACTCTTTTCTCCCACTGTCACAGTTCTTTTCTCTCTCTATCTCTCTCTCATGTTCCCTCTCATCTCTACCGTTCCATCATCCCTTCCGTTGCCAACTCAACTGCATTTTCTTCTACGGTAATATTTTTTCCTTCCTATTTCTCTCTAATAACGGCTTCTTGTTCATTAATATTGGATTTTCTATAAACCCTAATTTATTACTTATTCATTTGTACCGTTTTCTTATTCTTTTGTGTTCCCTTTTTGTTTTTATTCATGTTCCTACTATTTTGATACCCATTCTATTAAAAAGTTTTTTTTTCTAATAACCATTGTTATTTTTATGTTATTCATTGTATGTGCTATTCACTATTTTTTTTTGTGTTTCCCCTAATTTATTTCTATTATATGGTTATTTTAGTGCCCTCATATTACTTGTTCATGTCATAGGTTAATATGGATTCTGAGGATCAAGATATGATGCTATATCTAATTTTAGAACAATCTTTTTTAGAGATGGTTGAACTTTGTTTTACAATTTTAATGATAGTTAGTCATTCTTCACTATAGTTTTATGAAAATCAATGCATTAGGCAACAACTTACGGATAAAGAAGGATTAAGGGGGGGAATTTGTAGAGAGTTTGATCAAGAGAGATGATGTGTTAAGTGTTAATCAACTTCGCATGGATATTAGATCATTTCGATTATTATGTTGTCTCTTCTGTAATGAAGGTCAATTGAAAGAGGATGGACTAGTATGTGTTGAAGAACAAGTGGCTATGTTCTTACACATATTGGCACATCAGATTCTAGAGTATTACGGGATTCCATTTCTAGGAGGAATGGTTTAAATGTTCCAATAGGTTAGAGTAATCATGTGGAATAAATTTTCTTATAATAATACAGATAAAATATTTTTATTTGACAAATGTATTTGATTATTATAGGTTATTATTATCTTGTGTAGAGTCATCCAAATGCAATAGACTATAGATATGTTTCAATCCCACTTTTTGACAAACGTGTCCATGCATTTGGAAAAGACCGTGCTACTAGTAAAGGGGCTTCTCCTCCTGTTAATAACGTTGAGGAGATATAAAGAAATATAAGAGATATTTAACGACGAGGATAATGAAATAGAAATGACTTCGTCGCCGCTTAATAATAAATCTAAAAGGAAGTTTGACAACAAAGATATACCTTTCAACAAAAGAAATAAAGGAGCAAGTCTAATTGCTCAAAGTATATATGAGTTAGGAAAGAATGTTGGGACTATGATTGAAAAAACATCTGAAATATTGGCTGAAGCTGCAAATCGCTTAGGAGTTGGTAAATATGTGTTTGATGATTCAAGAAATATCATGAATGAGTTGAAGAAAATGGAGCTAACAGAACAAGAGCGATTTGTTGCCGTTGACAAAATATTATATGTGCCACATCGTTTACACATATTTTAGAATTGTGTTGATGTTGATGATCAGTCTTGCATTTGTTAAGTCATTGATGTAATGATTCCAATACTTTTTGGTTGACATTATCTTATTATTTTATCGTTGTTTTGTTATTACTTTTGCATATGACAATTTAAAATTGATACGATTTTAATTTTAATGATTTTTTATTTATTATTATTTACTTTATTTTAGTGTTGTGTATGGAAATTTAAATTGGTATTAATTTTAGTATTATTGATATTAGTTTTAGTATTGATTTTTTATATAATTATACAAAAATATATAACTATCAAGTGCATCCAAACACATGACAAAAGAAAAATAATACTATCTAGTTTGTTATCCTGGGTGAATCAAACTCATAACGGGATAAATATTTATCTTGTCATTACCATATCTTGTCATTACCATATATTGTCTTTATACATCTCTTTATCTTATCATGTCTTTATCATATCTTGCACACTAAACAGATTCTAAATGACAGTCTTTTTGAAACGAATGAAATATAATTTATTCTCTAATCTTTATTATAAGAATAAATTTAATTTTTAAATATATTAAATAATTAATATATCTAAGAGGTAGATTATAGAACTGCTCTACGTACATATAACGTGACACAAAATAATATATAATTGGAAAAATGCTAACTAGTGCTCTTGGAGCACTCTTTAAATATTTAAAGTAGTAATATTTTTTAAAAATACGTGTAATTAATATATTGAAAATTAAAATAATTAATTTTTGTAAAAAATATATTTTTTATTTGGCATCCTTAAACAGTATCTTTAGGGCATGACACTGATTGGTATGGACTTGTATAATTATATAATAGATTGGCCAAACTTATCCGAAGCTTCACAGCTAACACGTGCACTGCATTTATGGACGAAATATCTTTTGCTTCGTTTTGTGTCTAAAGAGCTATCATTCTGGTAACAATCAATTCATAACTTAGTAAAAAAACAATTTAATTTTGGGTTTAATTAACTACAGAGGAAACACTAATATACAATACCAGCTCCAAGTTATTTATATAGCTTCTTAACTTGTAATCATATTCATCTTATTTCTCTTCTCAAACTTATTTATGTGTTTATATAATGATTTGGCGGGCTGGTGGCATACTTGTTTTCAAGAAATTCTTAATTTTCACCAAAATACAAATTCTATAATTGATACATAGACCCTGATAAGTAGAAAAATGAACCATGTATCAAAAGATTAATCACTGAAATGCTACAATAGACCATTCAAAATTTCGACAGAAACAAATATTGCGTTAGCAGCTATTGCAATAAACTAAGCCAACAAGCAGACTCTTCGAATCATATTGTTACATAATTTTGGATGCAGCTAACAGGTTCACGATCCCCCACCAGAACCTCCCAATGTGAATTGAACACAAACCACTCACCTATATTACAAACATAAGAAGCGCTTTATAAAAAAACTAGGTTGGAACAAAACAAAATTGGAGACATCAAGATTTGATACGACATAGATATTTCACTAATGCATCCCAACCAAAACAAGCTCTGTGAAAAATAAAACAAATGAGAGATGTTCTAGCAAGATGATCGACCTCCTCCCCTCATGTCCCTCTACTCAATCACCAGTACAAAAAAAAAACTATTGAACAAATTCGACACACCTGCTGATTTTTTTGCAAAGAAAAACATAGAGCGACAATTCCTACAAAACACAATTTAAAACGATTCATCAGAACAATACAATCAAAGCCTTTATAGTATTAACAAGGAATATACTCTTCACCCTGAATCTCCAACCTCATTAAAATTGTTGGACTTGGGTTCCCTTCCTATGCGGAGAAAGACCCAAATATTAATAGCTCATTTGTCTCACTTATATAAGTGGAGAATGTCAATTTAGGGTTAACAGAAATAGAATAAAATAAGAATTTAAAAAGAGAGAAAAGTGGAGAGAAACTCAATCCTATTTTTTCTGTAATAGTCTCACTAAAACGATGATCCTCGATTCGTTCACCGTCAGATCAAGCTGAAATTTGGTGGGCTTATTTGCAACATATATATCTAACTTTCGACCGTTGAGATCTAAAAAGCAAGGTCTGAATTGAGAGATAAAGGCATCGCACTGAAGCTTTAAATTTGGGGGAAAATTTCAGTTTTTTTATCCTTATTTGTAAGTTAGTTTACTTTATGATTTGCGGTTGTTATCACTTTTTTTGTGAATCACTTTAAGACTCTCTTGTAACCTCAATGGATTATAGTGGAGCTAATTTCTTTGATTTAGAAGATTCGTGATTTTTACTCTCATATTGAGGGGTTTTCCACGTTGAAAATATCAGTGTTCTTTTGTGTCTTTATTGTTCAGTTGTCGTCTTATATTTGTTGTTGATACCTTCAAAGTTCTTACAAGTTTGAAAAATATTATATTTGTTGCGTATTGTTCTGTTATTTTGTCTTAATTTCCCATCAGAGTGGCATCAGAGCTCTTGGTTAATGGCTATTTTACTTGTTTGAGTGGTGGAGTCAAATACAAAGATGTAGATGGTATTGTTGTATGGTTCTAATTACCATTTATGGAAGGCAAGATGAAAGACTTACTATTTATGAAGAAATTATATTTACCGGTTTTTAGTTCTGTAAAGTCGGATTCTGTGTCTGATGAAGAATGAGAGTTTGAACACCAACAAGTATGTGGTTTTGTTCGATAATATGTAGAAGATAATGTTTATAATCATATTGCTAATGAGACACATGCAAAAAAAAAATTGTGGGAGAAGATAGAGTCCTTGTATACCTCTAAATCAGGGAATAATATGTTGTTCTTGTTGAATAGCTTCATAAGTTTGAAGTATAAGGAAATGACTTCTATTTCATACCACTTGAGTGAATTTCAAGGGCTCCTTGATCAGATGTCAGGAATGAGTATCAAATTTGATGATGAACTTTTGGGATTATTTCTATGGCTATCTTTACCAGAGTCTTGGGAGAAATTTCGAGTTTCTATTACAAGTTCTTCTTATAAAGGTGTTGTTTCTTTAGAAACGAATAAGGGTGATATTCTTAATGAGGAGATGAGAAGGAAGGCACAAGGTTCTTCATCTCAATCCGATGTACTTGTCACTGAAAATAGGGGGAGAAGTCATAAAAATGAACCGAAGTGTGGTAGAGAGAATAGCATAAGTAAATCTAAACCACGATACAAGAATCTGGAGTGTCATTATTGTCACAAAATAGGACATGTACAAAAGTATTGTTATCAGTGGAAAAGGGATAATAAAGGAACGAGAGGTAAGTCTAAACAAAGATATCATGATTGTTATACGGTGGGAGAACTGACTTTTAGATTTTGTGTTTTATCGTAAATGTTGCAGATAGCAAGAGTCGCCACTGACTTTTCTTTTATCCAATAAAGGAAAGGGTGAAAAGAATAGGAAAGACCTTTGAGAATTTTCTGAGTTCGGGGGGTAGGTTATGAAAAGGGAAGGTGTTAGCACCCTTTTCATCTGTAGTTATCTACAGGCTCTTAATCGCTAGCTCACTTTTTTGAAATGCTTTGAGTGTGTGTTTATTTGAAAATATTTTAAAAATGTCTAAGTACGGCAATTTTGTAATGATTCTCGTATCGTTGAGAATGCGTACAAAATGTTTATTTTGAAAATATTTGTTGAAAAAGCATCGTTGTGTGAAAAATGTTTTGAAATGTTCGCGAGCAAGCGATTAAGAACTATCTACCTACTCAAAAATTCTTTGTTCTTTTCCTCCTCATTTAGATAATGATAACCTACCATCAGTTAGTAGGAAGCCCGTCGTTGGATGTGAAGGGACAGACACGGGTCATCGTACATTTATAAAGGCAACTTGTAGGACGCTTTAGCAATTTATCGTAAGGGACTAAGATCGTTTTATCGAGGTAACATCGAGGGACTACGATCTTTTAACTGAAGGTCTTTGCTAAAGCGTCCCACATTCGAGGGATATGACTGCTTTTTATCTGAGGCAACAAGTGAGGTCACCCTAGAGGTGCGGGTGTGAATAATGGTTTATTTTCAGTTATTTTATCTTGAGTATTAGGTTTTCTAGCGTTCGTTTTTATTTCTTTCCATGCACGCCTAATTACTAGACAGTTATAAGGAAAGTAATAAAAGGCGGAAGAAAAATATCCTACTCTACTACAATACTTCAGGAAGGGGGGTAAATTAATTTTAATTAGGAAAAAGAGAAATTAATTTAATTAAAAAAAATTGATTTGTTAAGTTAATTAGAAAACATGATTAAAAAACCTAAGTCCAATTAATTAGTTAAACTAAAAAATAATTATAGTGTAAATAAAATAAGAGAAAAATAATAAAAGATGTTGGGCCTGAAATGCAAAAGAAATATGGAGGGGTGAGAAACCAATAGCTAGGCCCAACTTGACAAGGCTCAGAATGCTTGCGCTGGATTCAGTGAGGACAGTTCCAGGAAGTCTATGGTGTACACGCAGATCTGGAGCGCTGGATCAGGATCTGTTGAGATCCAATAGTGATGATGAGAGGGTGCATGGCGGACTTGGGAAGGTTTAGCATACTAGATCTGCAAACAAGAAAGATGAGAAAATAAAATTCTAGGGGCAGGGCTCGAACCTGTGCCCTGGTATACCAATGCCTTTACTACGCCCTCTCTACCGCTGGGGTGGCCGTTACATCTGTTAATACAAACCAAACAATAAAAACAAAAAATAAACATGAAACTATTGACCGGAGAAGCGCCGGAACCCTAGCTCCGATCGTCTTCTCTGGCCTGCGATTAGTTGGGATTGAAACTACTTGTATCATCCAGTTCGATGCTCAATGGTTTTTGAGCCCTAACAATGGTGAAACATGATTCCTGCGTCAAATATCACATGTAATACGTCAATCTTGTTCTAATGATGCATATGAGAATATTAAACAGATTAGCAACGATTGAAAATACAAGAAATCCAAGTTTGGAAATTTACCAATCTTGAAAAATAGCATGATGGAGATGTCG